AGACAATAACTTTATTTATGATACACTTTCAGCTTTACAACAGCTTTGCTCACTGTTTACATTCACATACAGCTGCATTACACCCTGCATGAAATGTAATTTTCAAAAATCCATAATGGGGGCACTTTAAAGATAGTGTGTTAATTCTGTGCCTTTTAATCCATTTATTTGTTTCTCTCAGGAACAAGAGGAGACTAAAAGTGCTACTAGCTGGCCAGAGTACTACATTGACCAGCTCAATTCAATGGCAGCTGTAAGTATGTCATTTTTAAAGACATTTCTTTGTTCTTTAATGTCTATGAACTGATGTTTTACATTTTACATTGCCATTGGACGCTGAGGCCTTAAAACACATAACATGTAATATCCATGGTTAGACATGTACATCTAAGCTAGCTAGCATGCTGTATGTGCTTCTAGTGTAAGCATGGCATCTCATTTTATTTTACAGAGGAAAACTCTGTTGGCCTTGGAGAAGGAAGAGGAGGAGGAACGCAACAAGACTATCGAAAGCCTTAAAACGGCACTGCGGACACAACCTATGAGGTCTACACATTTGTAACACAAATAGATACACACACTTTGTCTTTATCAAATATATATCAGTTATCAAAGTCCCCCAAATTTGTATTTGATCATTTCTTTAAAAAAAATATTTTATTTTGTTATGTAATGTCAAGATATTCATAAGATTTTAAATGTGGTTTCAATGCTTCTGTTCAAATTTTATTTTTAATTAATGCTTTTATTCAGCAAGGATGAATTCAGTTGATCAAAAGGGACAGCAAAGACATTTCTGATGCTACAAAAGATTTCTATTTCAAATAAATGCCATTATTTTGAACTTTCTATTCATCGGTTCTAAAAACAAATTACAGTTTACAGTTAAAAAAATATTAAGCAGCACAACTGTTTTCAGCACAACAACAAATTTTCTTAAGGAACAAATCAGCATATTAGAATGATTTCTGAAGAATCATGTGACACTGAAGACTGACATCACAAGAAAATATTACATTTTAAAATATATTCCAATAGAAAAAAACGGTATTTTAATTTGCAATAATATTACACAATAGTACTGTTCTTTCGGTATTTTTCATCAAAAATGCAACCTTTTGAGCATAAGAGAACTATTTTGTAAACAGAAAAATTTAAAACGGTTATTTTTACATTGCAATAATATTTCAAAACATCTCTTTTTTTGGTGGACTTTATATCTCAAATGTGACCCTGGACGACAAAACCAGTCTTAAGTCACTGGGGTAAATTTGTAGCAATAGCCAAAAATACATTGTATGGGTCAAAATTATCGATTTTTCTTTTATGCCAAAAATCATTAGGATATTAAGTAACGATCATGTTCCATGAAGATATTTTGTAAATTTCCTACCGTAAATATATCAAAACTTCATTTTTGATTAGTAATATGAATTGCTAAGGACTTTATTTGTACATCTTTAAAGGCGATTTTCACAATATTTAGATTTTTTTGCACCCTTAGATTCCAGATATTCAAATAGTATTTTTTTGCACCCTCAGATTCCAGATATTCAAATAGGTGTATCTCGGCCAAATATTGTCCTATCCAAACAAACCATACATCAATGGAAAGCTTATTTATTCAGATTATATATAAATCTCAATTGTGAAAAATTGACCCTTAAGACTGGTTTTGTGGTCCTGGGTCACAAATGGTCCATATTTGCTCACTAAATCAAAACAACAGCAACAAAAAATGCTTAGCTTACATTATTGCCTTCATTTGAAGATGAGGACAGCTGTCTCAAGGCAATAGTTTAACACGTCAATGATTTTTCCATTGGCAAGTACCTCACTCTGTTAATAAACAAACGCTTCCCTTATGGTGTGTGCTTTGGGGTCTAATTATGCAAATGAGATTACTTTCATCACACACATGCTCACAGACACATGAGTTTGTTTAGTGGTTCCTGCTTTTACCATTTGATCCTGGGGTCACAGATCATCAGCACTGACCTCTGCAGGGCTCGGGTCAAAGCACTCCAGCCCTCTTTGTGCCTAATAACCTTCAGGCTGCATATCAAACCATTCCAAACCATTGACAGTTTTAGGCAATTGTATTTAAAGTCTAGTGCTTTATAGGGGCTATAAATCTAGCTACCAATGTGATATATTATTTCACATTCATCACCTCCCTGTGGAGTCAATTATTTTCAGATTTACAAATTGTTTTCAGAGCCGTGGCCTAGCGGTTAACACACATGCCTGGGTTGGTGCTCATGTCGCAAATTATTGTGGGTTTGAATCCAGCCCATGTCGTGTGGCAGTCCCATGGCACCATCTTCTCCCCATAATTTCCTGTCATCTCTTCACTTTTGCCAAGAAATAAAATAAAACTTTGATCAAAAAATTAAATGTATTTTAATTTTAAATAAAAAATATTTAATTTAAATTGATATCAAAATGAATACGTTAAATATGCTACATTCTACAGCAATTCATTCATAAGAGAAAAATTTAGAAATTAGAGAAAAAGAGACGTTTTTTATTCACTATAATGACATATGATTTTTTTTTCTCTCTCTTTTGGAATAAAGGAATATATAAAAAATATATAGTTATGGAGGCCCAATCTTGCAGAAATTAAAAATAAATAAAGTTAGAAATACACACAAAAAATAATAAATTAAGGGCAAACTGATTGATCAATTGATTGATTAATTAATTAATTATTGAGTAAATATGGATTAATTCAGTACTAAATTTAATTACAAACTAATTGTATATTTTTTATACAATTAATTGATTTATTTAAAATGTCTGTGTTCCATATTAATTTCCATATATACTAGGAAATCATATGGTAACTCTGAGAAAGCATTACAAGGGGACATCTGGGAAAAATTAAAAAATGTATAAATTATGAAAACATGAATGATATGACGGCTTAAAAGTTAAAGCTTTTATTTTTTCTATCATGGCTTATGAAACTTAATACAAGTGGGGAAGATGTTTAACGAACAGCTGAATTCATTCCTCATAGGTTTGTAACACGGTTCATTGATTTGGACGGCCTGACATGCATCCTGAACTTCTTGAAGAGCATGGATTACGAGACCACCGAGTCTCAGATTCACACTTCCCTCATTGGCTGCATCAAAGCCCTGATGAACAACTCCCAGGGTCGTGCTCACGTGCTCTCTCACTCCGAGAGCATCAACATCATCGCTCAGAGTCTGGCCACCGAGAACGTCAAGACCAAAGTGGCGGTGCTGGAGATCATGGGTGCGGTGTGTTTAGTGCCAGGCGGCCACAAGAAGATTTTGGAGGCCATGTTGCACTATCAAAAGTTCTCTTGTGAGCGCACACGATTTCAGGTGGGCTAGTTTGTTTATAACCTTTAATCCAAGTATGAAAACATCAAGAGAGTCTGTATCAGGATAAATGCTAATCCCATTGTCGTCTTTTTTTTTTTGTCACAGACATTGCTGAATGATCTGGACAAAAGCACAGGGCGGTACAAGGACGAGGTCAGCCTGAAAACGGCCATTATGTCCTTCATTAACGCTGTTTTAAGCCAAGGAGCTGGCGAAGTAAGACATTTCGGCTGTTTCCACACTTTTTAATGCATTTTAATTTACTCACTGTCCAGGTCTGTGCTTTCCTCTATAAGCATCTACAAAAATAACTCTCCTATTTGCCCTTAAAGGAATAGTTCATCCCATAGTTCACCTTTTAGAGGTTGTTGTTTATAAAACCCCTCAGTTCTCTCAAGATCAGTAAGTGTTTCTTTAATGAACCTGTAGGCCAGCCTTGAGTTCCGGGTTCATTTGCGATACGAGTTCCTCATGTTGGGGATTCAGCCCATCATCGACAAACTCAGGTCACATGAAAACTCTACTTTAGACAGGTAAGGGCCACAATTGCTAACTTAAGCTTTATTAATGGAGTCTTATCAGAAAATGTGAGCATCTTGATTTTGCTGTTTCTCTTTTTTTTTGTCTCCTCAGGCATTTGGATTACTTTGAGATGCTGAGAAATGATGATGAGCTCACGTTATCCAGGCGGTTTGAGTCTGTGAGTAGATAAAAAACAAATAATAATATTTAACAAATAAATATATTGTTTACAATTAGTATTATAAAATGTAAAATTATATTATTAAATATTATTCTTTAAATAATAATATGTATTTTTAATCATATACCTTGCTATTTATTACTATTGTATGGAATTGAACTATTTATACACTTTTTTCAGATCCATATAGACACGAAGAGTGCGACACAGGTTTTTGAGCTTGTACGGAAGAAGCTGGCCCACACAGATGCATATCCGCACTATATGTCTATTCTTCACCATTGCCTGCTAATGCCTCGTGAGTGCTTACCTCATTGTTTAGAGTTTTAGTTTTTAACTAAATTATGCATAGTCATCTGGTTATTAATGCAAAAACTAGCCGGGTTAATGCCACAAATGACTTTGCAGAAATGTTTGAATCTGCACTTTGTTTTAGATAAGAGAAGTGGGAACACAGTGCAGTACTGGCTGCTCCTGGACCGCATTGTTCAACAGATGGTCCTGCAGAATGACAAAGGTCACGACCCTGACGTCACACCATTAGAAAACTTCAATGTAAAGAATGTGGTTCGAATGTGAGTTTGTCTCTTTTTTTTTTTTTTTTTTTTTTTCAATTTTTTTTTTTTTTTTTTTTTTTTTTTTTTTTTTTTAGATTTTCTTTGGCATCCATATGTTGCTGTATTGTATTTATAGTAGTTGTAGTTTTTTTATGCCCTCATTAAGTTTTTGCCAAATAAACCAAGATCTGTACTGGAGTAATGAGTTTTTCCTTAAATCACATCACTTATCCTCTTTCAGGCTTGTCAACGAGAATGAGGTGAAACAGTGGAAGGAACAGGCGGAAAAAATGCGTAAAGGTCAGCACATGTTGTCCACATTGATGTTTCTTTTACAACAGACTGTTTTTTGCATTAAGATTAAATTCTCTGTAACTGTTGATGCATTCACATCTTGTAGGAATTACCATTCTTGAATTTCATGTGACTTGACGTCATGCAAAATGACATCATGAAACCATTTTTATGTATACTTTTTAGCATTTAATAAAATGTTTATTTATATATATATATATTTAATGTTATGAAGCTCCTTTAGCTGTAATTTTAAGCATTGAATATAATGTTTGTTTATTCATTCATTCAGAATATAATTTTTTTTATTTAATAGATTTTATTTAGCAGTTTATTTGTATGCAATTTTTTCGCGTCCTCACCTGTTCATGTAGGAATTATCACTCTGATTAAACAACAATGAAAAAGTCATCAAACTTGAACATTGATTGACTTGAAAATGTATTAATTAATGACTTGACCGTCATGACATCATGCAAAATGAACCAGCATGTAGAAGTGAGTTAATGTAAAATTCAACAACAACGAGCACATGACATCTATTTGGCATTGTAAGCCTTGCCATATAACTAATCATTTCTAAAAATGAGAACATCATCAGCTCAGAATAGATTTTCTGAGTTGTCATCTCATAATTATGTTAATTCTGACACGACCTGAATGTAGCCTGTTTATTTCAGTTTGATCCAGCAGGCTGGAATGCAATGTCTTCATTGTAGAGACGTGTAACATTATGCCCTTTAACATCTTTGTCCTGTAGACCACCATGAGCTTCAACAGAAGCTGGAAAAGAAGGAGCGAGAGTGTGACGCAAAAACTCAGGAGAAGGAGGAGATGATGCAGACGCTCAACAAGATGAAAGAGAAGCTAGAAAGAGAAATGGGGGAACATAAACTAGTCAAGCTGCAGGTGTCGGAAATGACTGCCAGACTACATGACCTCAGCACGGTACGCTGATGATGTCACAAATATATACAAACAAAAACAAAAAAAACAATGTAAATGTCCTTTTTCAAAGGCAAACATTAATAACGACCCACCACTGTGCATCCCTTTTGTATTTCTAGAGACAAATAGCCAGTGTTCCTGGAGGTCCTCCCATCCCTGGCCCTCTAGGTGGGCCTCTCCTACCCCCTCCACCTGGCATGGATTACAGGGGCTGACTGGGTCATTCTGACACTCACAGAGGCTAAAATCTGTTTCTTAAGCCTCTACTTTTAATCAAGAAACACTTTGAGAAGTCTAGTGACAGAAATTGGTGTCAAAACTGTCCTAAATTTTGTCAGGTTGTCAGCATTTGTCATAGAATGTCATATGGGTAGAAGACTAGATTAAAAAAAATGTATATCCTGAAACTATTTTTATATATTGACTTTTTAAATAGTATGTTGTTTTTATTATTTATTTACATTTTAAGTTAAATACACCTATTTTGATCTGTACTTTTTAGTTTTTAATTTTATTTATTTAGATTTCTAAATTCTTTAAACTATTTCCATCTGTACTCTTTAGAATTTAATTGAATAAAATGTTATTTATATTTTTAATTTTATGAAACCATTTTTATCTATACATTTTAGCATTGAATAAAATGTTATTTATTTAGACTTTCAATGTTATGAAACCATTTTTATTACCATTTTTTTAGCATGAAATAAAATGTTTATTATTTATTTTGCAGATTTATTTATTTGCATTTTTTCCCCATCTTCTTCATCTTAGACTTATTTTTCAATTTTGCAGTGCATTTTTTACTTGAGTTTTTAGGATTAACAAAATATAGCATGTGACTTACAACATGTGATTTTGGACTGGACAATAATTGAGTTAAACATCCCACTTTCTTTCACAGAACAAGCTTGAGGGAACCGTCTGGGCAGACATTGACGACAGCAAAGTTTTCAAAATCCTAGATTTGGTGGACATTGAGAAGACCTTCTCTGCCTATCAGAGGCAACAGGTCACTAAACAATGCTTCTTTCTCTGGTTTTCATCCAAGATGATCTCACAAAGCATTCACTGTCTCTCATGCATGCTATTCATACGTTTACCCATGGTAATCCTGCATCACAGAGCATGGGGTTTGAATTAGCAGACTGTAAAATGCATTGATATCACCAGCAGTTTCCTATGAAAAGCAGACATTCGCAAACCGTCCTCATTGCGCTTGGTAAACCACACACTTAGTCTCATTATAAAGCGATTACATATATTTCTTATGGCTTTACAGTCAAATTAGAGAAGAAAAAAGAAAAAGCTAGGTTGGATACAGCTTGAAACTTCATTGACCATGTCTACGTAATCACATTTTGAAACAATGCATAAATTACTTTAAGCTGGTTTTAAAATAACTTTTTGTAGGTCTTGAAAGCATGCTTAATGCATTAAAACAGATATTCGTTAAACCTCTCCAATTTCATCAAATTCTCAAAATTGTATAGATTTAATTAAAGCATTATTGAAGCCAGATTATTATGAAAGTCATTTGTCTCAGAGTAAAAATAAATTAAAATGTAGCTTATATAATATATAATTTATCTCACACATGCAACTTTATATCTCAATTGTGACTTTATTTCTTGTATTTGCAACTTTATTTCTTAATTTCTTAATTTCTTTAATTTGTCACAGTTGCAACTTAAACTCAGACTTTATTTCTTGCAGTTGCAGCTTTTTTCCCCCGCATGATTACTATATTTCTTGTAATTCATTTTTCACAATTGCAATTTAATTTCCTGTCATTGTGATTATTTGTTGTAATTTTTCAGTACTGTGGCTTTTTTACTGTGGAGATTTCCACATTATGAACAGAAATTTTTCTAGAGAAAATTAATTTTGGCCACTATTGCAGAGCATCTAGATTTGATACAAGGTGGAGTTGGAGAGGTAGCTGGAGATGTTTAGCTGTTGTTTAGACATTAACCGGTCATCTACGATCAACTAGCATGCATCTTTCAGTGCACACACATTTACACTGCATTTACAGACTTCCCAGAAGGCTCTGCTTTCATGCACCCTCACACTCCCCATTCACCACCCCAGTAATGTCATCATGTTTTGGCATCAATTCACCAGACTACACTGTCTCTCTAACATGTGCTGCATCTTCCTTGCTTCTTGCCTGCATTCTAGGACTTCTTTATGGTCAATAACTGCAAGCAGGTAAGTGTAGTTGAACAGATCTAATAGTGTTTGCATCATCTCTACCCCACTCACTCTTTCTGTCATTCATTTTGTATCCAGACAGTATTTAAAAGTGGAAACCTAATGTGACTTTACTGATAATGTTTCTATAAACTGCACATATGCACTGTTGGTCAAAAGTTTGAAATCAGTATATTAGAATGATTTCTGAAGAATCATCTGACATTGAAGATGAGAGTAATGGCTGCTGAAAATTCTGCTTTGCATCAGAGGAAATTTTTTTTAAAATATATTAAAGGGGTCATATGATGCGATTTCAATTTTTCCTTTCTCTTTGGGCACATGTGGTTGCCGCAAGCCCGACGGACGAATTCGTCGAATCCGCTGGCTGCGCCGTTCTCAAGCCCGCCCACCTCTGCTCACTCAAGCCCACCTGCCACCGCTCACTCTAGGCCTCCGGCCTCCGCTCACTCAAGGCAGATTTGGTGGACATTGAGAAGTGTGTGACGCTGTTTCGTTGTGAAAGCAAAACTACTTTGTTTGGTCTTCCAAAAGAGGACACGATCATTTTAAATTATAATGATATTTCACAGTTTTTACTGCATTTTTGATCAAATAAAAGCAGCCATGGTGAGCATGAGAGACTTATTGCAAAAACATTCAAAAATCTCAATTATTCCAAACTTTTGACTGGCAGTGTTAGTTTGAGATTCAGAATCAGAGTGTATTGATTCTTTTATTTTAATTCAGATTTTTAAAGTTGCTCTTGAGTGAAATGTATCTCCTTTGTGACTCCGACCACAGAAGGAGGCTGAAGACGATGCGCTGAGCTCCAAGAAAGTCAAAGAGCTCTCTGTTATCGATGGCCGCCGGGCTCAGAATTGCAACATCCTTCTCTCACGGTGAGTGATGTGTCTGCCCCGGGTATGAGTTCACCTCCGGCTGATGTGTGTGTGTGTGTGTGTGTGTGTGTGGACCTCACTGACCCTCCAGATGTAATGTCATATCCTGTGGGTAAAACCTTCTGGTTCCTACACCCTGGTTTAATACTGTATCTTCCAGCTTGGTTATTGTACCACTTCCTATCAATGAATGGCATACCGCCCTTTAGTTTCTTCACGTATATACATTATGAGGTGGCTTCCTTGAATTCTGTGTAAATCAGTGCAGCATGGGCCTTTAAAAATCAACAGGAACCACGCCTCATTAATTACGAGCCTTAAAGGGTTAGTTCACCCAAAAATGAAAATTATGTAATTAATTACTCACCCTAGTGTTGTTCGAAACCCGTAAAACCTTCATTCATCTTCGGAACACAATTTAAGATATTTTTGATGAAATATGAGGGCTCTCTGACCCTCCCATAGACAGCAAGGTAACTACCACGTTCAAGGTCCAGAAAAGTACCAAGATGATCGACAAAGTAGTCTGTGTGACATCAGTGGTTCAACTGTAAAGTTACGACGGTCTTATGGGTTTGGAACAACACGAGGGTGAGTAATTAATGACAGAATTTTCATTTTTGGGTAAACTAACCCTTTAAATCATTAAAAATCATTTTTCATGCTTGACAACCTGGTTGTCATTGCCAGGAATGATATTTGACTTTCTCACACACAAGGAACCCGCAAGGATTCTGTGATTGCAGAAGCTCCACAAATTGCAGTGGTTTGGAATTTCCATATTAAAAATTGCCCGTTTATTAAATATTTTGGCTGACATTATAAGACAATTATAATGTTACAAAATATTTCTATTTCAACTAAATGTTTTTCTTCTGAACGTTCTATTCATCAAAGAATCTTGAGAATTAACGTATCATGGTTTTAAAGAAAATATTATGCAGCAAAACAGCTTTCAATTTTGATAATAAGAAATGTTTCTTGATCACCTAATCAGCATATTAGAATGAATGAATGAACACTGAACTGATAACTTTTAAAAAAAATTATTTTTAGTTAATCAATTAAATGCAGCCTTTTTGAGTGTAAGAGATGTCTTTTAAAAACATTAAAAAATCTTGCTGCCTCCAAACCTTTGAATGATAGTGTACCATATTTAAATATATTCCTTCTATCGAGTTTTTCCCAAAATCTTAGCAGAAAATGTGGAAGAATGGCCTGCTTATAGGTCCTCCATTTCCTTGGACACATTGTTTTTGCAATCATATAATTAATTTTAAAAATCAGTTCGAACAAACAAACAAATACATTAATAAAAAAAATGCTTCTTCTAACAAATCACTATTAAGATTTAGTATCCATCCCATGTATCCAGGCTTCATTTAATGAAAAGACCACATATTGATTTATTGAATATTTTTATTGGATTAATTTGGCCATTTCAAATCCCAAAGAGAGTTATTAGCATTTCTTTAGAAAAGGTTGTGCAAATTTATATTATTTAAATTCATCATGTCTCATTACCTTAATTTCATCTTCAAAGAATGTATTGTCAATTCAAACCTCAGGAAATATTTTCATTCACTTATAAGAGGATGATCAAGCCTCTCTAACTCAAAATATATGACATAATAAAGGAAAATACTACTGCGGGTCCTAGTTTTAGAACTCCCGGGTAGTTGAATATTATTCAGGGTTTGCATTTCTCCAGTTTATAGCTTTATACAGATATGACTATATAAAGTGTACGAATGAGCTGAAATTAAACAGGCTTCCATGCAGCACTTAATACTTTAATTATCCAGGGTTCCCACTGAGTTTCTCCTTCTCAGTAGTGATATTGTTCTGATAAATGTCTTTCATTATAGGATCCAATTCTTATTTTAGGTTAAATATCTCTTTGTCACCTCAGGACTACCCTTTCTGTACGAAATGAATCCCACAAAGCAAACTGTAAGTTAGTCACAGCTGCCAATCCAGACGGTGTCGGATATATGACAGCTTACTGACTGACTGCGGTTTGGCTTGGGACCCAAACACCAAAGGCTCTCGTAAAGCAAGACTCCAAACTACATGAAACAAACCAGACTAATTCCAATATTGCCAGATTCATTCCAAAATCCTCCCTGCAGATTTGTATTAATGACAGTTTATGAACGACGACATCGAGACCCCATCTTACGCACATTAACAGCTGACTTCAGCTCTGTAGATCACGGCCTGTGGTTCTATTACACTCTCATCCTCCCTAAATGGTCTCTTAGGATCTCCACAAGCACAGATTGGGGTGTAATCCATTGTACAGCCACCGAACGGACCACCCAAGCTGAGATTCACAGGGATTTAAATAGATTCGCTTCTCAAGTGGAAGCCTGTAGAGTCATTAGTGTTGGTTTAGGGATGGTGAATGTGGTGCTGGACGTCAAGGCGGTGGAGGGTGAGATGGTGGTCTGGCTGGAGGGAGATGAGACTGAGGAGTAACATATGCTCAATTGATTGCTAATTAGAGCTTAGCGATCAACTCATTGTTGACAGTTCTCAACTTTTTTCTGTGCAGTTCTTGCACAGAAATAGATCAGAAAGGACTTTACACTTCAGAAAAAAAATCAAATACCTTAAAAAAAAAAAAGGCCACATTTATTAATACATTTTGGGTTTTTTTTTTTTTTAAGAGAAATTCTTTAAGTAAGGATGCATTAAATTGATCAAAGGTGACAGTAAAGGCAAATTCTATTTCAAATAATGTTGTTCTTTTGAACTTTTTATTCATCAAAGAATCCAGAAAAAAATTTCTCACAGTTCCCACAAAAATATTAAGCCGCACAACTGTTTTCAACATTCAACATTGTTTCTTGAGCACCAAATCAGCATATTATAATGATTATAAGACTAATGACTGCTGACAATTTAGCTTTGCCATCACAGGAATAAAATTACATTTTAAAATATATTAAAAATAAAATAACATTATTTTAAATTGTAATCATTTTTCACTGTATTTACAGTTTTTATTGATCAAAAAAATGTTTTTTGAAGCTTTTGAACAGTAGGTCATGTTTTGGACTTTTAACAGAAGTGTATTTTTTCTACACTTAAAAAAAAAGTAAAAAAAAAAAAAAAAAATTTGCCTGTGCAGTAAGACAAATTAAGTCTTAATTTCTTATGCAGTGTTGCTTCTCAAGTAAATGTAAAGGAGTTTTAGATATTTTTTACTGGAAAACAAGTAAAAAAAAAAAAAAAGCTTAAAAGTTAAAGTAAAACTAAAGAAATCATTTTTTTTTGTGTGTGTGTAAATAACTAAATATCATCTAAATAAATATAGTCTGTTTTCAAGTATGAGGAAAATGCCTGTTATCTGATCAAAGTGAATTTTGTCAACGCTAACACTAGCATACAGATGGCCTCAAAGCCAACACACATGGACGAAAGGTTAAATGTGTGACTAAAACTTTGATTTTGATTTCACTGGGTCTCTAAAGGTTTGATTCATGGCATTTCACAATCATGGTAAAGTGTCTGTGACCACATGAAATGGAAAGTCTTCTGCAACTCCACAAGATTTGCTTCCCACTGTGTCTCCTGCTTATTATTTTCTGATTAAGCAATAAAGAGGGAATGTGGTTACGCTAATGACATCCTAATAATGAAGTTGGCTTGCCTCTGAATGAACTGAGGCTGCCATTATTTCATTCTTTTCCTTCCTGAGTTCAACTTCACTCACTCCTGTAAGCATGTGAACTTTGTTAGAAAGAACTCAGGGAATTGGAAGCGCTGCTTGGCACAAACACCTCGACTCGAACATGGAAAGAGCTCTGTCGCTGCTGTGGTTTGCAGTCTCTCTGGATCCTGGCTGGGGAACGAAGGCTGCTCTCCAACGCTGATCTCAGACCCGTCAAACACCTGTTCTTCTTGGCCTAAAGCACAGCTATCTCTGGATCAGATGTGCATCTATATCATTAATGTGCAATCTTGGCTGCACTGGTGGATTCAACTCTGGGCAGTTTTGACCGTCTCTGTCGGAGGGCTACTAAGAAGATCTGCCAGCACCTTCAATTTTAGGAGGAAGATATTTATCTTCCCTAGATTTTCAGCTTGTTTTACAACATACTTGTCATGGATAGCTCAAACTAATTGGTGGAAAGGCCAGGGACTCACATACGACAAACTGACCACAAATGTCATGTTACTGTTGAGACGTAACCAGTGATGATCACAGATTATGTAAAGCAGGCAAATGCTGGGTTAACTTATAGGAGTCATGCGATAATATCACTTCTTCACTCCAGTAATGATATATAGTGTTAGCCAGGAAATTCTTGGTAGCTGGAACAAACACTTGGGTTCATCATTGGGCCTCAAGATTAATAGCTCTTCTAAATAACATACATTAATTTATTTATACTATATGCCAAAGGAAAATATATGCAAGCGGAGGAAATTCCCAGCAATTTCCTTTTCTCAGTGTGATTAAATACAGTTCACTGAGTTTTCTGCTGATGTGGATCTATCACTCCGATTTCATTTGTGAATTAATTTCAAATTAATTTATTTGTCCCAGTCTGCTTGATCTGTATATCCTGTGCTTGTGTTTCAGATTGAAAGTTTCCAATGAGGAAATAAAGAGAGCCATTCTGACTATGGATGAACAGGAAGATCTGCCCAAGGACATGCTGGAGCAGGTGAGTGTGAACTGACGGGAATGTGCGGGACAGAAGGAAAAGCATTCTGGGTTTAAAACAGCTATCATGGTTAACAAACATGTATGGAAATCTGTTTCCGCTTTAGAGTAAAATATACAACAGGTAATGGTGAGTTTACAATAAGTTTAAAATAAGAAATACAGTAACATTGTGAGACAGTGTGACAGTCAGTACAGATATACAGTCATTTGTGTACAATAAAGTCCCAACTGTGCACTTGAAATTATGGAGTAAAAATGTCACAATTATGGGAAAAAAGTCACAATTGTGAGATATAAAGTTGCAGTTGTGAGAAATAAAGTAGCAATTATGGGAAAAAATTACAGTTGTGAGCTATAAAGTCACAGCTGTGAGATATGAAGTTGCAATTATGGAAAGAATTTGCATTTGTGAGATGCATAGTCACAATTATGTAGAATAAACACAATTATGGAAAAAGTCATAATTTGTGAGATATAAAGTCGCAATTATGGGAAATAATCATGGACATTCACACTTTATATTCAACATAAAGACACAATTACTAGAAATAAACAATTATGAGATACAAAGTTGCAATTATGGAAAAAAGTCACATTGTGAGTTATAAAGTTGCAATTGTGACATAAATGTAACTGTAAGAAACTAAGTTACAATTACTTTTTTTACTATAAGGCAGAAACAATTAATGTAATTAATGGTGTTTTCTTTACTGCTCCAGATGATGAAGTTTGTCCCAGAGAAGTGTGATGTGGACCTACTGGAGGAGCACAAACATGAGTTGGACCGCATGGCAAAGGCAGACCGTTTCCTCTATGAAATGAGCAGGTAGGACAGTTAATCATCATGGTGACAGTTTAAGCGGGCTGTTCATATAGGACACATTTTATTTTTTAATCATTGGTCTTTGTAAACATACACAAGTCTTTGACCACTGTGATGCATCTCGAGTAAAAAGAAGTAAAAAAAACGCATCACGAGTGTGAATGGACCCTAATTTGATTAACTTTTCCCTTTTCTCTCACAATTCTACTTTTATCATGAGGAGCTTTATTTAATTAGATAAATGTGAGGGCTTAACTAAGTTAGTCTTTGTCCATTTCAAAAATAAATGCTCCCCACTCCAAAAATGAAGACATTTTTATTAAGGAGCTCCAAAAACTTAACCTGATACCTACATTTTGCTGCACACTACCCATAAGCCCCATTGCTGATTGGCTTGGATCTTTATTTCATCTTGGGACCACGATGAGCGTCGTGCCGTTCACCTCCACAGTCCCACACAGTGGATTTCATGATGTTGGCCTAGTACATTGTATGTAAGGAATATCTCATCCGTGAAGGCCACCCACCACTGTACAGTGGCTTATTCAGATCTGTTTCGTTTTTCCACACACACACACACACACACACACACACACACACGTGGTGTCAGGGGTAAATGCGATTTTCAGCAGGAAGGAAGGAAAAGGGTTATGAATCCTGGGTGACACATTGATCTGGTCAAGCTGAGGATCCCATTCAGCATCAGTATTTTTTGTAACTAAATAAGTAAGTACTATCTCATCATAGATATGCAGCAGCCTTATGCTTTCTAGCAGAGGAGCTTAGCCAAACAAATCACAGGTGCCTTGGCTTGCTTGCTTTTTCTTCCTGTTTATGAGACCCTAGTGAGTTTTTTTCACTGCGCTGTGGCTGATGTGTTTGGAGTATAGAGGATGGAAGACAAATCTTTCCAAGAATCGACTGGGTTGTCCGATTTTAATCTCCAAGGCTGTGTTTGGCCCCTCGGCAAGTGCAGTAACCAAGGTGATGGTCCCCGACACGAGAGTGCTGAATGCAACACAGCAGCGTCAGGGTCAGATCACTGGTTCAGGCTGTTTGTTCTTTATTCAGTGGAACCATTAATGCTGTGTGTACAGATCATATGCGTTTTATTGTGCCATATGCAAGACAATAAATCTACAGCTCATTTAGAATCTATTATGGGTGATGTAGTGTGCAATCCTTTTAATGGACCTTGCTCTTATATTTAATGTACTTTCCCTTTTTCCCTTGTCCAATCCGCTATCTTTGTCCTTCCCACAGAATAAACCATTACCAGCAGAGGTTACAGTCTTTGTACTTCAAAAAGAAGTTTGCTGAGAGGATTTCAGAAATTAAACCTAAAGTTGAAGGTTCGCGCATGTGCACTTTAAATACATTTACATTGAGAAAATGTCAGTTGATTACCTTTTTAAACAGTTTTTTAAATTGATTTACTTATTTTGAAATTACTTATGAATTATTACTGTATTCAAGTGCAGAATATTCAGATTAATTAAAATGTAATGTATAATTAATATAATAAAAAGAAATTTAAAAATTATATATATATATATATATATATAAAATTATTATATATGTACAGCATTTATCAAAAGTTTGGAAACATTATGATTGACATAGTTAACTAATATTGTGAACTACTGTTGCAATTTAAGATATCTGTTTTCTTTTGTAATATATTTTAAAATGTATTTTATTCTTGGGATGCCAACCTGAATTTTCAGCAGCCATTATTCCAGTCTTCAGTGTCACATGATCCTTCAGAAATCATTCTAATATGATTTGCTGCTCAATAAACATTTATTATTATTATTATTATTATTATTATTATTAATTTTGAAAACAGATGTGCTACTTAATATTTATGCCGAAACCATGATATACTACTATTCAAATATTTGGGTGTGTGTGTGTGTGCTTATTAGAAATTAATGCTTTTGTTCAGCAAATATGCATGAAATTTATTAAAAGTGACAGTAAAAAACATTTATAATGTTACAAAAGATTCTATTTCAAATAAATAATGTTTCCACAAAATATTAAGCAGCAAAAAGTATTTGTAACATTGACAATAATAAGAACCATTATCAATAACTGAGCACTAATAATAACTGAACACCAAATATTAGACCATCATATTAGAATGAAGGATCATGTGACACTGGAGAAATGGCTGTTGAAAATTCAGCTTTGCATCACAGGAATAAATCACATTTTAAAGTATATTCAAATAAAAAATTGTTATTTCAAATTGTAATAATATTTCACAATATTACATTATCATGTCACAATTGACAGACTATTCTACAGATATTCTACTGCCTAAATTTGTCAGTGATAATGATTACAGTATAGTTCATGAACATTAAACATTTTAGGCTTGTTTTGCATTGCGTGTTTGTGTTTCACTTTGCAGCACTGACCAAGGCCTCAAAAGAGGTGCTGCACAGTAGGAATCTCAAGCAGTTGCTGGAGGTGGTGCTGGCGTTCGGCAACTACATGAACAAAGGACAGAGAGGCAATGCTTACGGCTTCAAAATCTCCTCACTCAACAAGATTGCAGACACCAAGTCCAGCATCGACAAGTGAGAAGATATATCCTGTCTATGAAAGAATAAACAAGACAGTTATTTATAGCTTTTATATTCCTACTTTTATTGTCGTCTTTGTCCCATTGCAGGAATATCACTCTCCTACACTACCTGATCACCATTCTGGAGAAGAAGTACTCTAAAGTCATGCTCTTCTCAGAGGAGCTGCAGAACGTGCCGGAAGCTGCAAAAGTAAAGTAGGTATAGCTGCGGAGTGGCTGGTGTGCGCTTCTTTCGTCAGCTTTACGATTTACAGGCCTTTAGGGTCTACTTGCGCTAAATGGATTTTGGAAATAGTTTTTGCGGTGTCACTCCCACCCACCACTGGGCCTAAATCCATGCTGTGGGTCATACAAGCTTTTGGTTACTCACATATGCAGAGCAAAACCCTAAATTATAGTTGGAGGAAATGGGGCCCTCGGCTCTCCGTGCTGAAATGTATAAGTGGAGGAGAGATACATGCATACCACCACAGCAGACAGAGTGTGAATAGAGCTCCCCTCGATGACCTCTCGAGATCTGCGTGCTGCTGTGAAGTGCGTGCCAACAAATTTAAGCCAAATTGTGAGTGATATGCTTGTTGTGACACTCTCGCCCTTTAGAAAATAGTTTCTAATTTTGAGTCATTGCCTTTAAGGGACTATCCAAATGTACAGTAGAACGGCCACTTAACTACTTTTTTAGTTGCGCCAGCGAGGCTAATGTAATCATGCTTGGTCCACAAGTGAAGTCACAACAAATTTTGCCCATGATCTAATTTAAGGGTGTAGAAAGAATGAAATAAGGGATTCTGTTTGTTTGACTCGGTCTATCAATCAGTGTCATTTATTCAGCAAATAAAAATTATGTTGCACAAGGTACAATGAGTTTGAGTGGCCAATCAGCAAGTGCCGACAGGCTTTTCCATAACAACGTCTCTGTGTACTTTGACTGTTCAGTCCGTTACAATGGCCTATTTGTGTGGAGGGAGGAATAAAGGCTGCACAGATTGAAGACAAGCGGCTATCAGTCCTGCAGCTAAGAATAGCTGAACTCTAAACAGAGCCGTTCACACACATTATATGCGGTATCTGACTAATGGAGTCACTTGAGTTTTATCACAGGGGTTAAAGTTCAGATAAATGCCTGTTATACATATCTGTGCTTCTTATCAGTGCAACTTGTTTGGATAAAAGGATAAATATGGTCATCTCGTACGGTATATGGAGATTTTAGTAACCATATAACCACATAGTTAAAAAGGGCCCATTATGTACAACTGACTGTGATTGAGAGATGTACAGTACGTATGAAAAATATTAAAATATTTAATAAATCAAACTAAAAAATATCAAATTTGTATTAATTTTCGTATTATTTTAATGGACCTGAGATAACAATAACTAATGTACTGATGTTAACAAAGATTAATAAATACTGTAATGAATGCTCATTGTTCGTTAATTTAGTTAATTTAATGCATTAACTAACATTAACTAATGGGACCTTATTGTAAAGTGTTATCAGTTTTTTATTTTATATGGCAAGTAAAATTAATTCATAAAAAAGTAAATAAAAATACATTTAAATTTAATTTATATAAAAATAGAATAATTAAAAAAAAACATTAAAATATATAATTGTTGGTAAATTTTTAATTGTTTTAATTATCTAAATTCTAAGTCATTAGTCGTATTATTAAATGAAGCATTTACAAAATAGTAGCTGTGGGGTGTCAGATACTGCAAATATTAACTAATAAATGTAAGCTTTGTCTCCAATTGCAAGCTTTCTCTCATTTAAGTATTAAATTTGAATAATATTCAATAGTTAAATATAAAAAATGTTTAAAACTGTTTCACAATATTCAGATGTTCTGATTATTGACCTTATTTTACTGAAAATATGAAAAATGTGCAGTAAAATAAGACTTTGGCATGGGATTGTGTATTTATTTTTTTTTATTTTTTTTTATGAACTCGTTCACATATTCCCAACTGATTCAACTTGCCGCTTTATGTGGCACAATTAATGTGTCCCTATGCTATAGATTTTATAGTAGACAGACTAGTATTAGTTTTTATAATTTCTCTTAACTTAATTTAAAAGGGGCACAGTTTACCCCCCTCTCCTCTAGAAAATGCATTCTTGATTACACATAAAATGACAGGGATCTCTATGATTGTGTCTTTCCAGCATGACTGAACTGGAGAAGGAGATCAATCATCTTCGTAGTGGCTTGAAGAGCGTAGAGAGCGTAAGTGCTGCATGATTCCTCTTTGTTCTCAAGCTTAAAAGCAAATCATCTAGTTTCTCTCTCTCATGCAGGAGTTAGAATTCCAGAAGAAGCGTCCTCAGGAGTACGGGGATAAGTTTGTGTCTGTAGTCAGCCAGTTCATCACAGTGGCCAGTTTCAGCTTCTCTGATGTCGAGGACTCCCTCAGTGAGGCCAAAGAACTGGTGAGTGTGTGTTGGACTGCATTTGTTTGTTTGAGTGTGTATCTTTAAGATGCACATCCTGGTGCTCAGCCTTTCCTTCAAAGGCCAGCTGGAGAAACAGGCTGCGGTCACCCTCCACGTCCTGCTGTGCGCAGAAGCTGACCTTCAACCTCTCACTGTGAACGCTTCCTATGTGGCACTTTCACTGGCCTCTGGGGCCCCCACAGGACACAGAGAGGGAACATGACATACAACTCTTATTGCTTTTGAGAGGTCCATCTGTGCAGAGCGAGGCAGACGGTTGTTAACACACACGATACACAATATCTTCCAGTCCTGTGAGGGGAAATGGGTATATATAAAATGTCAAGGTTTTCTTTTTACTTGATTTAAAGGTAAAATGCAGCAAATTCATGATATTGGGCTTTTATGACAGGATTGTGATTGTTTCAGATGTTAAAATCTCTCATAAATGGGATAGCCCACATTCAAGTTCTTAGGGTGTACTCACACTAGGTGTTTTGAACCACGTTTTGAACCGTGCGGTTCATTTAGTTGGCCCTGGCCCGGTTGGAAGAGGTGGGCCAGGGCAAAGTTCAGTTGGGCTCGGGCGCGGTACGCATGCAGTGTGAGCGCTCGGGCTCGGTTCAAGGCAACCGTGCCTAGTGTGAGTACACCGAGACCGGCACTATCGCGGGACCTAACGCAGCAGAGTGCGGCGCGGGACAACACTTGATGGGCGAGTGTGGGTGCGGGCGGGTAGAGACTCGTGTGTGCGGGATGCGGGAGAATATAAGGGCGTACTCACACTAGGCAATCTTAACCGTGCCCGAGCGCGTTTGACCCCCAAAGCCCGGTTCTAGTGTGATCGCTCCGTGCCGCGCTCGGGCGCGGTTCGTTTAGCCATCCCTGGCTCGGTTCGAAGAGGTGGGCCAGAGCGCGGTTCAGTTATATATAGATTAGTGAGTGTGAGCGCTAACCGCGCCGGAGCGCGGAACTTATGACATGTGCAGCATGATTGCGTGAACATTTCTGAGCAGCAAGAGTGATAGATCTGTAAAGCAATATATTGTGAGAGGGCCGTGTGTTACCGTGTCCCAAACGACTCAAAATAATAAACCACAAAGTTAACAAAACGATGCACTCCACTGTGCTGAGCGAGAGCGCTTCTCTGCTGTCTTCACGTGCTATCGGAAACTTCCTGTTTCCCACTTATGAAGTCGTGATTACGAGCACGTTGCATTCTTTTATGTTAAAAATAACAGTGGACAGTGGTTTGTGAATGTTAATGCTTAGCCTAAATAATTTCATCGTGAGCGCTTCATGTGAGCGCTGCTGCAGTAAGATGCCTGTTATAATTTTATTATAACATAGCATAACTTGTTTTTCTATAACAAACTAAAATATTTTCTATAAAAACGTTAAGTGGCAAATAGCTTGTTTTATATTTAATTTGATTACATTAATGTTATAAGTTGAGATTTAGGCCTACAATAAATATTTTAACTGCTACTATGTAAAAGGAATACTGCTGTAAAAAAAGCACCTTATTTGTTTAAAGTGTTTGCAAACCAAATGTTATTACACTTTTGTTCATATAGCAGTACTTTTAAATGAAAAAAATGCACAATACACTACTTTTGAATGCATTATTGAATTTTGTGCATAATGCGAAATAAGGTTTTTAAATGAATCTTTGCAAATCGACCTTTCCTAATAATGTGCTAATTAGCAAGCTTCACGATGAATGCAGCTAAAGCAAAGACTATAGAATACCCCAGACATGTCACTCGTATAGTTTTGAATGGGGAAGAATGCAACGCTCAATATGGCCGCTCAATCGCAGGAAGCCCCGCCTTCTGAATGAAAGAGCCAATCTCTAATCGGTAAAGGTCACTGCAGCTGCCGTTAGAAGTCCAGGTTGCTATAGAAACCAGTGGCGGCTCGTTGGTTTTAAAATAGAGGAGGCACACTAATTGTATTGGTCTGGGGATCCCTGCCGATTATTATTATTATTATTTTTATCATTATTTGCTTAACCACTTTAAAATGGCTTTTTGGTTGCTTTTAGTCAGAAAACGTAAAGAAAACGACACACGATTGCTATAGAAACAGTCAGTGCTCTGAGACGTGCGCTCAAGACTGCACATGCGCACTGGCTGATCTAGCCTGAAAAATAAGCATTTTATTACGCTATTTGAGCAAAAGAAACAACATTTATGACACAGTTGTTGTCAGATTTCATTGGTGATTTCAAATATGAAATTTGATCGTAAGCTTAGTGAACAGTTTTGGAGAACTTGATGTTTCCCATACAAAGTGATAGGAGCTGCACTTGCATGCCCGAGAGGCGTTTCAAAGATGGCCGCCGAGTGACATGACTTGTC